GTTGTTTACCAAGAACATCTTCTCCTTGCGAGGAGATCGTTGGAGGCAAATGAGGAATACATTAAGCCCCTCTTTCACAGCCAGCAAGATGAAGTTCATGTTTGATTTACTATCGAAATGTTCTCACGATTTCGTCGACTATTTGGTGGACCATCCAGAACTTTGCCATACGATCGAAACGAAGGAAGCCTTTAGACGATATACCACCGACGTTATTGCTTCAGCTGCGTTTGGTATAAGTGTAAATTCTATGAAAGATCGTGACAATGAATTTTATGTAAAGGGAGTGGAGGCTACCAAATTTCCTGCTGGACTATTTGCGATGGCCAAGTTCATGATTATAATTACGTGTCCATCATGGCTCGTTAAATCACTTGGTTTGACTTTTTTTCCGTCGAATACGGGCGTGTTTTTCAAGAAAATCGTACAGGAAACAATTAGTGCGCGAGAAGATCAAGGTATCGTCAGACCGGATATGATCCATTTGCTAATGCAGTCTCGATATAAAGAAGGTGATTCTGTACACAAAATGTCACTAGACGATATCGTTTCGCAAGCTTTTATTTTTTTCCTTGCGGGTTTCGAAACCTCTTCGACTTTGATGTGTTTCGTTGCTCACGAGCTGGCGGTTAATCGAGATATTCAAGAGCGTCTGCGCAAGGAGGTACTGCAGCATCTTGCCGAAGGAAACGGTGAGATTTCTTATGAGTCGCTATCCAGGATGACTTACATGGATATGGTGGTTTCAGAAGCTCTCAGAAAATATCCACCGCAGATTGTCATAGATAGACTTTGTGCTAAGAGATACGAACTGCCTCCATCGCAACCAGGTTGTAAGAATGTAATCGTCGAAACTGACGATGCAGTGCTGTTTCCTGCTTATGCTATACATCACGATCCGAAGTATTATCCGAACCCGGCCAAATTCGATCCTGAAAGATTCAGCGAAGAAAACAAAGACAATATATTCCCATACACTTATCTACCATTCGGTCTTGGGCCCAGAAAGTGTATCGGCAATCGATTTGCTCTGATGGAAACTAAGATTGTCATTGCTCATCTTTTACAAAGGTTTACTTTGAAGGCTACGGAAAAAACCGTTGAACCCATTGTATTCACTAAAAAGGAATTTATATTAAAACCTGTTGGCGGATTTTGGATTAGCTTAGAGAAGAGAGAAATGTAAAAATTTGGGAGCAGATATATTATTTTGCAATGTAGTTTTTCCGCAAAAATATTACCGTATTTCAATAATTTTTAAAATTTTTCGCTTTCAAATATAAATGTAATTAAATAAGATTTATTTGCAATGCATTTTACATTATCACGCAGAGCATATGCTCGAGTAGTATGTTAAAATTAAATTTTTGTTCATAAAAAATTAAACATTACGATAAATATTGTGCTTGTTTTACAATTTACTCGATCTTGCTGATCGTTTTAATGGCTTATAACTTCCATAGATCATCTAATTGTAAGATAAAGGCAATACCGTTAATATTTTATATTAGATCGAGAACATATTTTTTGCGCAAACATCTACCGAATCTTTTAAATTTCGAACTCATTTTTTTTCTTATTAGTTCAGATTATATTTACTAATCTAGATTCTCTCATAATTTGTTGTTAAACAAGCATTAAACAAGGAAATAAACTAATTACTTAATTTATTATCTTCTACTTCTTAAAAAGGTATAGATAATTAATATCACTAACTATTGCAATAAATATTACATACGCATTTACATCATAATTATAATTGTAATATCTTTGATATTTTTTAAGAAGTAACATATCTTATAATATTTTTATTAAAGTTCTAAGAAATTATCAAAATAAAAAGTTAATATGTTAAACATATTATTTTATCAGTTTTAAAATATTACAGAAAAGAGATTGTGTAAAGATGTATACCAAAATATACAGAAAAATCTTTTTTTATTACATCCAAACACTCTCTTATTAATTTTTTGCCCTTTTCGTTTTCTTTCTCAACCGCTTTCTCCTTCTTCCCATTTTTACTTTTCCTATTTATCTCTCCCTTTCTCATTTTCTTTCTCTCGTTATCGGTCTCATTCAAAGTCGATTCGATCAATCATTTTTGGCAGGAATTATTTTATGAATTTATTCGTATCATATGTTTAACACGGAACACATTTTTTCTCATTTTTTCAGTTGACTTTGTACAAATGCTGAAGATTAATTGTAATTGCCAGCATCTTAATGACAATGGTCTCGGTAGATTCATGTCTATTAAGTATTTATTTTTAATTACTTCATTAGTCTACTTTGTTCTTATTTTTGTTGTATCCCTTGTAAGTTATTATAAAATATTTTAGTTTGTTTTCCGAAGAAAAAGGATCGACCAATTAAATATAAATTGGCCCAGCCTTATTTTTTTGAATAAACATATATATAATCTGGAAGTTACTGGAAGCATCATAAAATGAAAACATTTTTTTGATTGAATTTAAATCTTAATTAATAATTTTGTTGTTAATTTAACGTGTAATTATTTTATCATCATTTTACTATTGTTCAAGTTGTTATATATTTTTTGTAAACTTAATTTGGATAATATAACATACAACATTAGATACACTGCATCTGTAGTAAATAAATAAAAATTATTTGATATATTATTTAATATTATGATAAAATGATATATTATTTAATATTATGATTAAATAACATTTAATATATTTGATCCATCGGCGTCAAATTTTTTGCTGCAAATATTTTTTATTATGATAATGTTTTCATTTTATTTTACCATTAAAAAAATTTTTTTGCACTTTTGAGGAATACACCTACCTATTTATATATTTTAGAATTTCTTACAAAGAATAAATTTTGGATTATCACGTATTATTCTTAAAAATTTGTATTACAATATATCTCAACATATTACATATCCTTATTATATTTTATTAGACAGAAAATTTTTAATATTGAAACATGATAACAAAAAATTATATACATAATGTATATTTTACTTTATTTGCTATGTTTTTTTAATATTATAGCTACATTTTTTCTTTAAAATACTTTCCTTACAGAATAAAATAAGAAATCTTTTATTTTACTATACTTTTGCAGTTTCTAATATTTAGGTATTAATTATCTCTCGTAATCGCTTCAGATGTCAAATCTACAGAGCAAGAAACGCATGATGAATCTAATAACAAATACATAATCATCAATAACTATTTTCATATTGAAGGCGTCATTAGTTTTCATTGAAACAAATTTTTTTAAATTAAATTAGTAAAGATTTATTTTTGATAGAAGCCGCACGATACTAAAAATTTTGTTCGTAAATCGATTAATGGTTCTTGTGCAACTACGAATGTGATATATCATTGTGGTTATCTCCAGAAGCATTTCCCCCTCCTACCGGTTTTTTCATAGTAAAACCTTCGCGCATATCTCGCGTACACATTATAACGTTCTACGCAGTGTCCGACGAAGTATCTCGATTTGTGTATTACTCTCTCGCATCACGATGGATTCATCATTGCTTCAATCGCCTTTTGTGTTATTATTGAATGCTCTAATCGTCATTGGCGTTCTGAAAATTGTCACTCTGCTGAATCACACATATTTTTACTGGAAAAAAAAGGGCCTACCGTACCTACCAAACTCGTTGTCGTCTTTTATAATGACTTTGAAATTGCTATTTGGTTATATCACTTTTCCGGATTATTACCAACATTTGTATAACTACTTCCCAGATGCTAAAT